GAGTGTGTGCAACATGCTATATTGCCAGGATCCGCAAGGCTTGGAAGTATCCTCCCTTTGTCTTTTAGTATCTCTTCCATTTTGCCAGCCAGCTTTTTTATCACCTGTTGGCTTTTTAGCCAGTAAGCATATCATTTCTTTGTAGAGTTGGGCCTGCTCCCTGTGCTTAAAAGTGATATGGTAATGATATGCCTTCATACTTCTGCTTGAGCATTTCAAGGCATCCCAGTAACAATGGTATCAAAATTGTTAATTGTTCTGGCATATCAAGGAGGAAAGCCTATGATAGTGCTTCTCAACCTTTTTAGACCAGACACACCCCTCATCAAACTCAAGTCACTCCTTGAAAAATGCTGTCTCTGAGTTTGAGCTCAATTTTTTATTACAGAAAAATAATGGAGCAATTTTTCTGTTGCAGAGAACATAGAAAGACCACCACAAGGCAGAATGTTTTTAATACTGTGGATTCCTATTAGAAATTTCTCAGTTTATCTTGTGAATTGTGTTTGCAGACCTAACAGTACTAATCTCGGGGCATGCCAGAGTGCTGCAGCACCCTGGTAGAGAATTGCTGGCATATAAGATTGTCTATGTGGGAAATTTGATATGCAATTTGATATGCATAGCTCTAAGTGTGACACTAGTTGGAGAGTAAGCATAGCCATTTGGGGAGTTTTTTTGTAGGGTAGCTGTTGTTTTGTAGGGCAGCTTTAAATTTAAACCTCACTTTATTCCAAAATAGAGTTCAAATGTGAATGAATCTGTATTCCCATTTGTTTTGAAATTAAAACAGTTCTGCCCTTTCTGTGATGCACATGTCTCAATTTTCCCAGGTTGTGCCTCAGCATGGACATCCTTCTTCCACCCAAATTCCAATTCTACATGATTTGAGTTATACCTGGAAGGACTCTAGGGTCATCTGCATATGTTCCTTTCCCTAGTTGAATTGACTTGTAGATTTTACCATCCTGACTCTTGATCTGTCTATGGCTTGTGTATATGGCTCAGCCTGATTTCTCTCTGAAAGACTTCACCAAGTTGTTAAAAGTAGGCTCTTTTTGAGAGTACACTATGGCCATTTTTCATCTCTGTGGATTCATTGTAATCGGGTTCATCTCACTCTTTTCGTTACTTGATTCTTCAATGTCACGCTCTATTCACCCCTCCTCATTATTAGGGGCCTACTTAATTTGCAATTTTGGGGGAACTGAAATCCTGGGGTTTTCTGTGAAATCAACAAAAAAAACCTTAATAAAAATAAAACCAACAGTCCTCAGTGCTAGGAGGGGAAGGTGCTGGCTGGCAGGGCGGCATGAAGAACAGGAGACAAGATGGTGGCTGCCTCCACGTCCTCTCTTTCCCCCGAGGCCTCACCACCAAACAGTGCTGAGAAGGTGAGGCATCTCTACTAATCAGCAGCAGGGGGCAGGGCTGCTGTGAAATGCCCATGAAGTCAGCTCTGCAGGCCACTAAAACTCCTTTTTCTTGCCATGATTTTGGTTGTTTCCTAATCATTATATACATAAACTTTGCCCAGAGGAGCTGATAAAATTGAGAATCTCCAGGAAGGAGTAAGAAGGGGGGTCCCCTTAAGATCAAGTTTCTGGGGTCTTAAAATAGAGAGAACACTGAATAGATGTCTGTGCAGAATTATGCACCCCATAATCTTTCACCCAATAGAAAAGATATAGTTTCATGTTTGTGTTATGAATGAAAACAATTCTGCCCTTTTTTTTATGTGCATGTCTCAAGTTTCCCAGGTTGTGCCTCTGCATAGAGATCCTCCCTCCACAGTGAAGTTGGATTAAAACAAAATCATTGCTTAATCTGTCATTTGCAAGGAACGTGCCAAGTAATAATAAATGAGCCTGAGAGCATGTAAAACATTCCTGGAGCCTGTCTGGGGCTCTTTCCTCCATAGCAGCTGAATCTCATGTACAAAGAGCCGGAGTTCCAGTGGATTACCTGGTCAAAGCCATTCTGATATTCACTAAAAAGAGTTGTCATTAGCAAGAAGCATGCTTCTGCATGGTTGCCTCTGCTTTCCTTATTATGTCAGTATGACTTTTACAACAAAGAAGAGAGTAGATATAGAAGGAAAAATTGCCAATAATTTGGTTTGTTCAGTCTTCTCTTTCTTGTCCTCCTTTTTGTGGAGGTAAACATTTCACATATTTGGAGTACTCTGCATGAGTGTTTTATGAATGAGTGAGTAGTCAACCTTTTTCTTTGCTTCCTGGTAGGTGAAGTCATACATCATTGATGTAACAGAGTTTTTGTAGGATAGACAACAGAAAGGAGACTAAGACCAATCAAATTACTAGTAAGCCTCCTCCTGACTAATGCTGGATGATGGTCTAGATACTCATTTCTAGCAACATCCAGATCTCTAGATTGTTGGGTTCTAGGTTTCCGTTCCCTTTTTAGTTTTTGTTTCTCTCTTTCACAATGTGTTGTTGTCAATGCATGGCTGCCTAGGTAGACGAGCTGTTCTTACTGTATATTGTAGTATTCCTTGATCAACTAAGAGAATGCTTTTATTTCCAATGATGCAGAGTTTTAAACATTTTAAAATTAGGCTTGAAAGCCAGTTTCTGGATTCTCACCTTTATGCTTTTTCATCTGTATAAAGCAGGTGGCTTCTTTTAAATCTTTCATTCTGTCTTTACAGGCAGGTAACCTACAGACTCATTTACGCCGGCACTCTGGTGAAAAACCATATATTTGTGAAGTCTGTGGGAAAAGGTTAGTGCAACAGTGCTTTTAAAGTTATGCGACTGTTACTTTTAAAGAAATCTCAGCGGCTAGAAAACAATGCCACCTTCCTTGACATTGACTGCTACTGTCTGTTCCTTGTGAGGTATTGCTTTTATTTTCTGATAATAAAATAAAAAGTATACAGAATTAACATTTACAATTACATGTTAAAATCAAGTACAAATTGATGGGTTCAAAAGGTGTAAATTTATGCAAAACGTGTCTTATTGTATATTTAATGTATTGTTTTGGCTTATGGGGTGTATATATATTATAGATCGGGGTAGGCAACGTTTTTTGCCCGGAGTGCCAACAAACATCACAATGCCTACCTTGGAAGGTGCCAGAGTGCTGGCATGACAGAAAAACAAAATGAGGGCAGGGGGTACATGGCAGGATGCCCTGCTTGTGCCCCCTGCCCTGCTGCCCCTTGCCCCCCCAGCCGGGGCTCTGTGGCTGTCAGCAGCTACCCCGGCTCTGGGTAGCTGCTGGAGCCCGGGCTGCCCCCAACAGGGCTTGCAGTGTCCCAGCTGCCTGCTGGGAGCAGCCCAGACTCCCGGCTGGCAGCAGCTACCCAGAGCCGGGGCCAGCTGTGCCAGGCTCCGGAGCCCCAGCATCAGCTCAACTCCGCACTGGTGCGTGCCGGCATGTGTCAGAGTGGGCAGTGGGGGAGGGGCCTGAGGCAGCACAGCCCCAGTCTGTCCCCCGCTTCCGGCACAGAGCTTGTGACTGGGCTCCGGAGTGTGGCACAGCTGTTTGTAGCCAGCCTGGGCTCCGGGCAGCTGCAGCGGGCAGGCTGCAAACAGCTGCACCGGGCTCCGCAGCTCCAGCATCAGCTCTGTGCTGGCGGCAACTGCACACGCACCTTGGGGTGGGCTGTGCTGCCCCGCTGTCTGCCCTGAAATACATACACAGTCGCCTCCAGCCTGGAGCTGATGCCGGAGCTGCAGAGCCTGGTGCAGCTGTTTGCAGCCTGCCCGCTGCTTGCTGCAGCTGCCCAGAGCCCAGACTGGCTACAAACAGCTGTGCTGACCTCTGGAGCCCATTCACCAGCTCTGTGCTGGGAGCGGGGGAGAGACAGGCTGTGCTGCCTCAGGCCCCTCCTCCACTGTCCACTCCGAGGTGCGCCTGCACGTGCTGGTGCGGAGTTGATGCTGGGGCTCTGGAGCCCGGTGCAGCTGTTTGAATCCTCTTGGCTGCAGCCAGCCCCGGCTTTGGGTAGCTGCTGCCAGCCGGGAGCCCGGGTTCCTCCCAGCAGGCAGCTGGGACGCTGCAAGCCCTGCTGGGAGCAGCCTGGGCTCCGTCACTGGCAGTAGCTACCCAGAACCGTGGCTGGCCATGGCATGCCAAGCAAAATGGCCTCACGTGCCATGGTTGGCACGCGTGCCAGGAGTTGCTGCCCCCTGTTATAGATCATTGGTTATATTTAGTTTTCTGCTCATTAGCATCGTTCTAATTAACTAAAAATATCTAATTTACCTTATGCAAGGGTTGATTTATGTAAATCAGAAGGGTTGACTCCTTTGATTAAATTAAGAATTTACATTTCTTTACTTTTTCTGTAAAAGAAAAATACCCTGCAATTAAATTTAGCAAGTTGTACAAAACTCTGGGTGGTAAGAAAGCATTCAGTTTTGGGCAGTTGAAATATTTTGTTGCAGTATATCATCCCAATTATTACTGTCTTCCACTGAAATATGACACAAGATGTGCAAACTTAAAATTGCCTTTTTGCATGAATTGCATCCAGTAAAAAAAGATGTCAGTGGTGGTGAAAAGTAAAATTAATTATTAAAAGGGCATTTGAAATACAAGGCATCAAGTTATTTAAAAATATTTTGAATGCGTTGCTGTTCCTTTAATAGCCTCTCGCATTTTATATATTTTAGACTGCACTTTGTGACACGCGAAGACTAGCTAAGGTGATGATCAGGGATTATAGCTGATATCTGTCTAATGTATAGTTAGTAAAATATTGGATTTGTAGAAAACCTTTTATTGTGTTGTCCCATTCTGTTACAGGTTTGCTGCTTCTGGTGATGTACAACGTCACATTATTATTCACTCTGGAGAAAAACCTCATTTGTGTGACATCTGTGGCAGAGGCAAGTAAAAGCTAATTTTTTTCAACCTTGAAGGTTTTTGTTTGAAATGTGAGAAGTCATCTTAATCTTAGTTTTTTTTCACATTTTTCTAGGGTTTAGTAACTTCAGCAATTTAAAGGAGCACAAAAAGACCCATACGGCAGATAAAGTATTCACCTGTGACGAGTGTGGAAAGTCATTTAACATGCAAAGAAAATTAGTAAAGCACAGAATTAGGCACACAGGAGAGAGACCATACAGCTGTTCAGCCTGTGGTAAGATTCACAATATATTCTTTTTTGTAAAAACTAAAAGAAATTCACTGTGTCAGCTTTGACTCGGAAGTAACCTATGATTTTGAAAAGGGGGATGCAGATGGTGAAGTGCATCCTCCCATATAACAAAGCACGTAATTTTCTCCAGGTAAAAAGAAACTAGAATCTTTACTAATATGTTAAGGGATCTGGGGATATATTAATCAATTTAAGATTGGTGCAAAAACAAACATAACTTTACTGGAATGAGTTAAGAACAGTCTGCAGCTCCTGTGAAATAGGAACCATGTTGACAGGTGCAGCTAATAGAGAACAGAAGTGCAGAAGGAAGGCTAGCTTGATTAGTGGAACATCAAGACTATTAAACAGGAGACAAGGTGAACACCTACAGAATGAAGAGTTCAGAAGGAATCAGCTAGAGTAAAGTGAGCCATGAAATCACTTGACTCCCTCACTGCTGTGTACCCCTATTCGGCTGGAGTAAACTAATTTACTCCTCAGCAGTACACATGTAGATGCTGCCCCAGCTGGCTGGGGCACAAGGGTGCTTCAGTGCTGGGCTACCTGCCAGCTAGCTCCATGCTGAAGCACCCCTGTGCCCCAGGCAGTCCTGCTGCAGCACATTGAGCCCGGGGAGGAGCAGCCTCAGGCTGGCAAGCTGGCTACCTGGGCCCCCTGCCAGCCGGAGCTGCTCTGATACGGCTCAATGTGCTGCAATCCTTTGTGCACATATAAATACACACCTGTGAGTAATAAACTGTGGTGTGATAAGCATCGTATTTTATTGCATCACATTAATAAGGTGTTGTTTAAATCTAAATGCTGTAGTCTGGTTTTCAGTAAAAAAAGCTGATCATAGTTGCTCCAGAAATTGAATTACTGGTACTTCCTCCTTATCAGCAGGACATACTTAGCCTTCCTCTCAACACATAGGGGTGCTGAAATAGCACACTCCATGCTTTTTAAGTTTGTCAGCAACATTCAAATTGAATCTCACCTAAACCTTAGTAGAAGCTGGGAGCAATCCGCAGTTTACACCTTCAGGTAGTTCCCTTACTTCAGCTTTGGAAAGAGAATGCTCTTTTAAATTACTAAGTATTACTCGAACAATGCTTCAGAGCAGAACACAGTGATTTTCAGCTGTGTTAAATGTATTGCACTATTGGGTCATTTGAAAACCTCTCTTTTAAGGACTCATCTGGTTAGGTGCACTCCAGTATGGAATTTCTGAGTTTCCAGAGAATTTAAACCATTTTATATAGGGGCACACCGATAGAGATTTTTGGGGCCGATACTGATATCCGATTTTTAAGGAGGCATGTTGGCCAATACCGATCTGATTTCCAATACAACATGGAGAGCTGTCTCCGGCTAGTAAGTCCATTGTGGTGGAAGGGGAGAGGGGAGGGAAAGGGCATGGCGGGGAGGGGGCAGATCAACCCCCCACCCCTGTGGTGAGGGAGGGGACAGACGTAGGGGCAAGTGCTGCCCAGCTGGGGTGGGGCACAGGATGGACCCGTGGCTTGGGGGAGGGGGGCGGCTTCTGCCATTATGTGCACCCTGGGAGGGTACAGGGCGGGGAGGGTGTCGTGTCCGTCCGTCCCCTGTGTCTTTTCTGCCGGGCCCCCCCCACCCAAATCTGTGCTGGGCGGGATGGGCAGGCTGCAGCTGTGGGCTGGAGCTGAGGCTGCACCGGGCTCTTCTTGCTGGGGGCTGGGCTTGGGGCGGGGCCTATAGAGGGGGCTGCAGCCACCCCAAATTTCGCTGTAGCTCCCTCCCAGCACTGCCCGGTGCCTGGCGCAGCCATGACTCTCCCCGGCGCATGGGGACAGGCAGAGTTTAAGCTAGGAAGAGCCAGGGCTGCAGCAGCACTGGGAGGGAGCTACAGCAAAATTTGGGGTGGCTGCAGCCTGCTCTGTAGCCCCTACCCCAAGCCCAGCCCATGGCGAGAAGAGCCTGGTGTAGCGCTGGCTCCAGCCTGCAACTGCAACCCGTTCGCCCAACCCTGTGCAGATCTGAGGATACATACTCCCCCCTGTCCTCCCGGGGTGTGCGGAGTGGCAGGAGCTGCCTCCCCCAATGAGCCGCAGGTCCATTCCGCACCCCGCCTCGCCCTGTCCCTGCCCCCTCCTTCATCGTGGGGGGGAGAAGGGTTGATGTGCCCCCCCACAACCCCTCTCTTCCCCCTCTCCTTCCACCACAATGGACTTACCAGCTGGAGGCAGCTCTCCAAGCTGCTGGGCTGTGCTTCTCGCTGCCTGAATGCTGCGCTGTGACTGTGCGCACACAGGCATTTATCGGCCTAATTATCGGCCCCACTGGGCGAATTTCCAATGCAGCCGATTTTCTTTATATCGGTACTGATCCGATATCGGACCGATGTATTGGTGAATCTCTAATTTTATATTTGAAATACATTTCACTTCGTCTTTGAGTATCTGCTTTTGATCAGTGTTGCTTTGGTATAAATTCATCTGTATTCAGAGAACCACCAGCATTAGAAAAAGGTAATACATTCACAGGATGATAAATTGCAGCTACATAAGTCTTGTGTTTGCTGTGGGGACCCTTTAGCAGCAAAGAAAGCTGTAATAGAAAGCCTTGCATCTAATGACATAAAATGCAGACTCAACCATAAACACAGTTACTCTCCACTCATTAAGACAGACTTATTTTCATCTTGTTGTCTTATTACTCTTTTGCTTACTTTTCTTGGTGTCCAGTTCACAAGGGGAAAGCGTGGAATCTAGACTGAGCAAGATTATTCAAAAGAGGAGCCATCTCTTAAAAATAACCTATGATATTCAAAAGTTTATTACGTATTGGCTCAGTGATTGTTTAATTTTATTGACTATACAGAAAACATATTTTGCTCTGTTTTTAACTAGGGATTAATATGAAGAGTTGAATGCCAAAGCATAATGCTAAAAATGAGACTAGTCAACTGAATGGCTGTTAGATTAATTATACGTTCCTAGGTTTTCAGATGATACTTTGTGTTTATGGTACGTATCTGCATAATACCATTCAAACAATAGCATGATTCAATGTAGGTAAACTGTATGTAGCTATATAAAGCCAAAGAGTTCTATTTTTAAGACTCAAGTTTCTTAGAATTACATTGTATAACATCAGTCTTAGTTCTAGAAATCAACATCCTTATCACTTGACCCCGTTTTAATTATTACACACACCCATAGATAATTATGTGTTTTATTTATTTAACTTTGATTTCTAATATACTGAAAATAGGTTAATATTGCATCTTAAGATGTTGATTATTATTTCAGTGTATCTTAACATGCATAGCAATAACAAAGTTACAGTACCAAAAGCAGTTTTCCCTCCAACATGTGTTCATATGCAAAGTTGAATTATGCGATTCATCTAATTAAGTACTTATAACTATATCTATCATAGCATCTGATCATAATTCTTCTGTAACAGAGCAATAGTTGTGGAGCACATTTAAGAAATAGGTCGCAAGAATATACAAAAGGGTCGTGAACAAAATTTATAAATGGATCAGTGAACTTTAAAAATGGATTCTCTGTTAAAGGAGAAATTGTGAGAAACTCTGGTTTTTCCCTGTAGGTGGGCAGAGTTCCAGCCTGCAAGGGGCTGTTTGTCCCCTTCCCCCCCTTCCCCACACATTGCAGGGCAGGGGCAGTGGGTCAGGAGTGAGGGGCACGGAGTTGGGACTGGCCATTGATGTTTACAAATGGGACCTGGTACAAAAAAGGCTGAGAACCACTTGTCTAGAAATTCACATCTGCCTAAGGGGTATGTGTACCCCCAGAGGTAGATGAATGAATAGGCCCACAGCACCTGAATCTAGGGCCCCATTAAAAGCTACCACTGCTACTATTTTACTGCAGGTGAAGCTTGGTCAGAGTAGACAACACTCGCAGCACCCTATTAGAGATGGATGCAATATCAGCCCAGTCATTCAAGGTTTTCTTCCTTTTTTATGTTTGGTAGTTAATAGTAGCATTTTTCTTTCATAGGTGGTGGTCAGGGCAATTATTCTCTGGGCCCAAAGCCTCAAAAATTCTTAATCTGCCTCTGTGTGTCCTCTGAGAACCACTGGCTTAGGTAACAAAATTCAGTGTGATGTTAGACTGACACAAACTGAGGTGAGATACACAGATAACACTTACCACAGCCATCCAACACTAATAAGTACTACTGACACTGAAAATAAACTGACAGAGAGAAACACTGTACTGCAAATCAGGTTAAAAAGAAGAAACCAGCAACCTAATTTTACAAACAACAGGAACTAGTCTGCCCATTGTAGACAGAAGCATGCCACACTCAATTGTTCTGCAGCCTTAACATTTGATCTTTTCTCTAATCAAACATATTCATGTGCTGAGATGAACAAAATCTAAAATATTTCTTCTGTCTCAGGAAAATGTTTTGCAGGCTCTGGTGACCTGCGCAGGCACGTGCGGACTCACACAGGAGAAAAACCCTATACCTGTGAAACCTGTAACAAATGTTTCACTCGTTCTGCTGTCCTGCGACGGCACAAGAAAATGCATTGCAAGGCCAGTGATGAGGGGTCAAACACGCTAGATGAACTGACTCATGGGATTGAAGCTTCTGATCTTGAGAAATCACAGAGTTCTGATTCATTTGCCCAGGAAATGTCTGTTGCCTTGTTACCAGTTCCAGTTAAATTTCCTGTCCGTCCACCTGGAAATTCAAGTAATGAGTTTGACAGCGCTGCAGGATCTTACTGCAAATTGCGATCAGTAATGCAACACCATGACCCTCCAAACCATCAGAAATTGAGCCTGGATCCTGCTAAACTCCCTAAACCTCAGACACAGCAAACTCTTCAGCCACCTTACACTTACACCGAAGTGGATGTATCTTCTGCAGAAGAACCTCTACAGTCTGATAATATTCCCATGATTCGTTCATCTATGACAATCCTGGACAATGACCCTCTGGTCAACCGCACATCATCATCTGCATACAGGAATAATGAA